GCTATTTTTTGGTTGCAACCATCATTGTTGTTTTGGTGGGCCTGGCTGGATTCGAATCCGTCACCTTAGGTGTATGTGGCTGGCGCCTTAGCCACCTGAGCCGCAGGCGCCGAGCCTAAGAACATTATTTTCTAGGAAAAAGACACACCCTCCTCCTCCTACAGAATGAAATCACGGTTCAAGGAACCCTCTAAAGAACTAGCAAAAAGGCTTCTCTGATATTGCTGGGTATCTCCTAATAAACCTGCCAACCCCTATGTCCACAGACCTCTTGCCTCACCTGCTGAAAATTCAGCTGAAGTCCCTCTGACTTTTCCTGAGGCTTGATAGACAGGAGGCAGTTTCCTATAAGACAAGATCTCTTACCAACTTACTCCACCAATTGTCCCAAAAGCTCAGCATCCTCTTCTCCTGACAGATGAGAGTAATGTTACAGAACTATGTATGTCACAGCTGGAAAGGACATTAGTATCTAATCCAGACCCTTTATATCTCACAGTAAGGCACAGGCTCGTGAAGATAAAGGCCCCACCCAAGGTCACAACAAATGCTAAGGGCATAATTGGTATTACAAGCCAGGACTCCTGATAACTTGACCTTTGCTCTTCATCTTTGCCCTCCCTACTTCAGTAGAACACCAAATGGAGATCCTCAATGGTCTGGATTTCTGGTTAAGTGGATAGTTCTGGAACCCCTTGGGTAATTCCTCTTCAAGGCCCAGTCACTCACCAAGATGGGCCATGAGCTCATCCGATGTGATCACTTCCTTCTGGGGGGGCAGCTTCACCTGGAGGCAGAGGGTGACTCTGTGTATGCTTTCCCTCACAGAGCACTGAAGCAGGGACCCACAGAAAGCTGGGGTGGGGGTGGGGTTCCACTGATAGGGTCAGGATGGAAGAAAAGGCATCTGGAGCAAGGAAATGAAGGTGAAATCTGCGAGGAATTCCCATTTGCTAGGGCATAGGAGATATAAGAGTAGGATAGATCTTTTTTTCTTTTTTTTTTTTTTAAGAGACAGAGTCTTGCTTTGTTGCTCTTGGCACATAGCTCACAGCAACCTCCAGCTCTTAGGCTTGGGCAATTCTCTTGCCTCAGCCTCCTGAGTAGCTGGGACTACAGGCGCCCACCACAACACCCAGCTATTTTTTGTTGTAGCTTGGCCAGGGCCAGGTTTAAACCCACCACTCTCAGTATATGGGGCTGGTGCCCTACCCACTGAGCCACAGGCGCTGCCCCCTTTTTTTCCCTTTGTTTTTATTATATTTCTTTTTATTTATTTATTTTAATTTCTTTTTTTGAGACAGAGTCTCACTCTATTACCCTGGGTAGAGTGCCATGGAGGCAACCTCAAACTACTGGGTTCAAGCCATCTTCCCAGCTCGGCCTCCCAAGTATCTGGGACTACAAGCACCCACCATGACACCCAGCTATTTTTAGAGACAGAGTCTCACTCTTGCTCAGGCTGGTCTTAAAGTCTTGAGCTCAGGTTTTCCACCTGGCTTGGCCTCCCAGAACCACCTTGCCAGCCTTTGCTTTGTTTTTAGAAACATTTATTTACTTAAGCTGGAGAACTAGGAAGAATAATCCAAAAATTTTTGACCAGTTTGAGAAAATCAGAATGATCAATGAAATGAGTCAGTGAAGAGTATTTCCCAATAGTTTCTTAGCGTTTATCTGAACTCTCTCTTACCTTCCACTGAAGAAAGAGTATGTTCATGATGGCAAGGAGAGGGCAAGGGCCGTTAGTGCTTTGGGTGATGATGGGTGTTCGTTCCCCCTTCCAGGGGATCCACTTGACGCAATAGAAGTCTAGCTCAGGCTGTCGGGTCCTGGGGGACTGAGGAAGCCCCTGGGATATAGAGCACATATGTGCTGTCTCCACCTCAGGCAATCTCCCATGGGCTGGACCTGGTAGACTTGAGGTAGCTTCAGGTGGAGGGGACTCAATGTTACCCTCACCCTGAGCAGACAGCACAGCTTGGTCTACTGGCCCCTGTTCCCCAGCTGTTCCATTCGCAGTTCTTGCCTCCGTGTCCTGAGGGTGCTCACCTGGTCCTGACAGGACCTCATGGTTTTCAAGAGTGACTGCTTCTGCAGTCCTGGCCTCACCAGGGGCCAGGTGCTCAGGCTGAAGGGGGTCCATGGTCAGAGTGAGTCAACCAAGGGGCATGGAAGGTATTTACTAACTTCAGGTACTTGCCTAAGCCAGGCTTGATATTCAAAGGAAGGGTTTGTCCAATAAGAAGAAAATCACTGGGCTGGAGAGAAGACAAACCCAAAAAGTCTTAGAGAGGGAATACAGTCTGTGCAGTCACTCTGGCTATGGGTAGTACATGTCTTTCTCAGCTTGTGTAAACAGAATAGTCCCAGGATCCCCAGCTGAGCTCTTTCCACTTTTAACTTGCTGTGACCACATAAGACCAACAAGGGCCAGATGCTTCCGGGCTTGGGAGGGATGACTCTGGTGGAACTGAAGACATGGGTAGACTCAGCCTCCCTGGAACAGGTAATGATAAAGAATGAGGAAGAGACAGAGGGATGGAGGAAAAAATAACGGTTATCAGTACAATGTTCTTTGGCTTACCCTGTAATAGGCATCACCTCAGGCAGGACAGGGTAAGCTCTGTGCCCTACACCAAACCCTACCCCTTCACAGAACTTTCTGAGCACACACAGGCTGCTTATACTCTCGAAGGTACCTTCTCTCTGCCTCGGCCCAAGCATGAAAGAGGAGTAGTGGGTGGGGTGAAGAGTCCATCTAGTCCTACCTCGGTGCAGAGTCAGCATCCTGCCCCTAAAGGTGAAATGCTGCTGAGGAAGTGGAAGTTTTCTCCTCAGAGGGCTTTACTCAACCTTACACAATCCCAAACCACAGCAAGTAGGTCTTCGAAATAGACTTCCTGGCTCGGCGCCTGTGGCTCAAGTGGCTAAGGCATCAGCCACATACACCTAAGGTGGCAGGTTCGAATCCAGACCGGGCCCGCCAAACAACAATGACGGCTGCAACCAGAAAATAGCCAGGTGTTGTGGCGGGCACCTGTGGTCCCAGCTACTTGGGAGGTTGAGGCAGGAGACTCGCTTGAGCCCAGGAGTTGGAGGTTGCTGTGAACTGTGATGCCAGGGTACTCTACCCAGGGTGACAGCTTGAGGCTCTGTCTCAAAAACAAAACAAAACAAAACAGACTTCCTATAGGCTGGAGAAGGGAAAGACAGGTCATGGGGGACTTGAATCAGAGATGGGTTTTGATAAGTAACTTCAGATTAGAGACACAAAAAACATTCTCCACAACTTCTTTTTTTTTTTTGACACAGAGTCTCACTTTGTCACCCTCAAATGACAAAGTGGCATCACAGCTTACAGCAACTTCAAAGTCTTGGGCTCAAGTGATTCTCTTGCCTCAGCCTCCCAAGTAGCTGGGACTACAGGTGCCTGCCACAGTGCTGGGCTGTCTATTTTTTTTTTTTTTTTTTTGCAGTTTTTGGCCAGGGCTGGGTTTGAACCCACCACCTCCGGCATATGGGGCCAGCGCCCTACTCCTTTGAGCCACAGGCACTGCCCAGCTGGGCTGTCTTTTTATGTTGCAGTTGTCATTGCTGGTTAGCTGGCCCAGGCCAGGTTTGAACCTGCCAACTTCAGTGTATGTGGCTGGCACTGTAACCAGTGTGCTATGAGCGCCAAACCACTTCTTTATTTATTTATTTTTAAATTTTAAAAATATTTTGTATAGCTGGCCGGGGCCGGGTTCAAACCTGCCACCCACGTTGTATGTGGCTGGCACCATAACCACTGTGCTACTGGCGCCACGCCACCCACAACTTCAAGGGAGCTCCTCTTAACAGCTGGAGTTGAAATAGCAATCTCGCCTCAGTTCCTCTTTTTTCTAAAAACTATCTAAACCCAGAGATAGTCTCTTGTTCACTATTCACATGGAATAGGAAAATGATGATTTCTGATTTACATAAAAAATATTCTCTCTACATTCACCTACCTATATTCTTTATGTCTGTTCCCAACTAGATGTGAACAGCAGGCGTTTTTAACGTGCTCTGTATCAGTACTAAGCATTAAGGCAGATTTAATTAACATTGTAGACAACAGATGATTAAAAAACCACAAATCCTGGCTCGGCGCCTATAGCTCAACCGGCTAAGGTGCCGGCACATACACCTAAGGTGGCGGGTTCGAATCCCCAGCCCGGACCGCCAAACAACAATGATGGCTGCAACCAAAAAAATAGCCGGGCGTTGTGGCGGGCACCTGTGGTCCCAGCTACTTGGGAGGCGGAGGCAAGAGACTCGCTTGAGCCCAGGAGTTGGAGGTTGCTGTGAGCTGTAATGCCATGGCACTCTACCCAGGGGGAAAGCTTGAGGCTCTGTCTCAAAAAAAAAAAAAAAACCACAAATCCTAGAAAACATCTCCCTTCCATCTCCTTGCCCCTTCTTACCTCTCTTTAATCAAGGTAAGAGATAGGGAGAAATCAAACTATTAATAGAAATTGTGTCTTTTCTTTACCTTCCTCCTAACCTAAGACTATCTTTCCTTCTTGTAAATCTACAGAAATTTGGGGTTTGGACAGGTCTAGGAGACGCGGATGAGGAACATTAAAGTTACTGAAATAAAATAAGCCTAGTCACCCAAATTCATCATCCTCCTGAATCAAATATAATTTTTGCTAGCTGCATATCATTTACATGCTGTTAATTTAGAATCAGAGTAGCTCCCTGGTCATCTAGTGGTTAGGAAAAAAAGAAAAAAGAAAAAAAGAATCAGAGTAGCAAAAGTCATCTGCAGGCCTTATATATATTTTTCCTCTATCTCTCTCCTTTCTTCCTCTTTTCCCAAATGACACCTAGAGTGAACGTTAAAGCAGATACCAGTCCCTGGAAAGTTAAAAAAGCTTGGAGAAAAACAGGGCTCTTTTCTTTTCTGTCCAGTGCCAGAAATGATCAATAGTGAAGCAGGGGTTGGGCTGCTAGCTGGCTAGAGGATTGAGGCACAAGAAACCAGGAGCTGGACACCCAAGGGCGTGGGCTAAGTCTTAAGAGCCAGGGGCAGGAAAAACACCAGACGGTTTCCACACAGCAGGGCACATTCCTGGTAGGGAGGGCACAAAGTATTTCACAGTGGGGAGGGTGCTTGCACCAGGATTTCATTCTTTTCCTCCTCTTTTCTCGGGTTCTCAAGTCCCACATTTTCTCTCCAGACAGAATTATCCTGTGATGGTAGTTGAGGGAATGAAAATAGCCCTGACCCTTCCCTAATCAATGGCAGTAAATAGCCAGAAGCACACAAAATAGGTATAGTAGCTTCAGGAAGACACTCCTCCTCCTCCAGGATCCTTCCTCTCCCCTCAAGTCCTTACTGCCCCATTCCAGTCACCTCTCAGTCCGACCCAAATCGTCACGATTTTCCCCTTAGCATAAGCAAAATGCCACTTGGTTGCCCTGTCTACCTGCTCACAAGAGAGGGGAGGTTCTTATTGAGAGGAGGAAATGAAGGGACCCAGCAGATCCCCCTTTACATTTCTTCCTGCTTTAGCTCCTTCAAGCCCTCAGACTTACAGAGACCAAAGAGGGGAGAACAGTCAGGTGTCAACTCCACAGAGCTGGAGAGGAAATGGAGAAACAAACGTTGGAGAAGAGGTGAAGACGATGGGTAAAACAAAGTTTGTACCTTAAAGAAGTAAGTGCTGTTCCAGGATGGAGAAGAATGGTTCAGCTCTGGCAATCGGGTAAGGAAGGTGGGTACAACGACGGGAGCTGCCAGCTGTCCACACCAAGGCTTAGACAGGTTTACACAGGTTTACCAATGGCACTCCTGGCTGGGTGTTGTGACCACTTCCGGACTCAGCCCAGTGTTGGGGTCATTGGAGGATGGGAGGGCAGACAGCGTGCTCCCAGTCTCTCAGAGTGTCTTCAGGATCCTTGAGTCCCTGAGTACAGGCCCTGATTAGGAGCTTGCTTTCAAAGGAAGTTTGTGGTTTTTCTTTTTTCTCTCTCTTTTTCCCATCGAGATGAAGCAAAATTAGTCAAGGACAAGCTTCCTGCAGGAGGAGGGGCCTGCTCAGCACTGGTGGATTTCCATCAGGGCTTTCTGGCTTGGTCAGCAGCTCGGTGATCAGCAGAGAGGGAGAAAAAAACAAGGAGAAAAAAACAACAGACCCTTTCTCTTCCCTCCGCCTGCCTCTAGAAAGGACGGAGCGCTTGTGCCTCTCTGGTGAGAACAGGGAAGAGCAAGTGCCCTTGCTGAATGGGGAGGAGCAGGGCTGGACAGCAGCAGACTGCCTAGCTGGGCTTTCTCCTGGGTATGATAGTTGGTTGCTGTGGATCTACAGAAGCAGGGCCCAAAGAGCATGATATTTGTATATTTACTCATTTACCATTAAAAAAAATTCTACTTCTATCCCTCTGGAACCCTCAGAAGGCTCCTTTCCAAGTCCTTGCTACATCATTTTTTAAGTCTAGAAATGAAACTGGTTGGGCATATGGGAGTGGAAGAAGTCTCAGGCTCTGGAACAAGAGTACAGTAGGGAAAAAAGTAGCAGAGCAAGCAAGAGATTCAACACCCCTGTGCTCTGCTCTGGCTGTTGTTTCCACCACAGACCTCAGCTTCTCCTTAATCACTGCCTCTCAATTTCCAGCGTGGGGAGCAGGAAAAGCTAGGGTGAGATGGATGGTAGGAAATGAAGGGATAGATTAACAAATAAGGGGACATTTGACAATGAGGGTCCATTTATTTGCAGTACTCTGCACTACCCTGGGGCTGGAAAGTGGCAGTTAAGGGAAGTTGAAAGCTAGCTACATTCTACTTAAAGGGCTGCCACAGGATGAAACTTCAAGCAACTCTGAAAGCTTAGAAGGGCCACGGAAACAATTGAGGAGGGATGGAGTGAGAAGATATTTGTAGAGGCTGTAGAAGAAGCAGCAGCAGGAGTGATCAGGATACTGTAGGTATTAAGAGGGGTCAGGGTGGTGCCTGTGACTCAGTAAGTAGGGCGCCGGCCCCATATACCGAGGGTGGAGGGTTCAAGCCCGGCCCCCACCCCTGGCCAAACTGCAACAAAAAAATAGTTGAGCATTGTGGTGGGCGCCTGTAGTCCCAGCTACTCGGGAGGCTGAGGCAAGAGAATCGCTTAAGCCCAGGAGCTGGAGGTTGCTATGAGCTGTGTGACTCCATGGCACCCTACGTAAGGCGATAAAGTGAGACTCTGTCTCTACAAAAAAAGGGGGGCGGGTTTAAAGATTCTTCTGTCTTTCTAGCATAGACGATCACAACATTTGTGGCAATGGGTCTGGCAAAGGACAGAATTAGAGAAAGGAAGATGAACATCTTTTTAGCCATGTGTAGTTTAAGATGTCAACCAGATGCTCAGTGTAATACATGGAAAGATGCTACACTCAGCCTGCTCTGAAAGAGAAAGTTCAGATGCCACAAAGATGGGTTACTGTGACACGCACGCATTTGTATGTAAAATGAGTGATCCCTCACTCTTATTGTTGTCTGCTAAAAATAAATAAATAAATAAACCCAATGAGCGATCCCTCCGAAAATTCTCCTTCCCTCCACCGTCAGGACCACTCCACAGGTCCCCTACGGCGTTTCCCACGGCGCCCTGCGCCACGCCCACCTTGGCACCACCGGTAAGACTCCCAGGAGTCTCTGGGCGCCCCGCTAGGGGCGGGGCGACGTTGTGCTCTGGGTTCGCCGGCTTACGCACTTCCTCCTGGGCTCGGAGGCCGAATCACCGCGTGGCGGGTTCGAGTACCGCCTCCTGACTCTGGCCTCTAGCCCTTAAGTCCAGGGCGGGGTGCTTTCGCCGGGTAAAGCCTCTCCTCGACAAGGGGCGGCCGCATACCTGGGGCTTCACCATGGAGGACTACCTGCAGGGTTGTCGAGCTGCTCTGCAGGTAACGGATCTCTGCGATTGTAAGGAATGGAGCTCGGGGTCCAGGAGGGACGAAGGTGTGGGATGTGGGGAGCCCTGACGGACCGACTTGTGAGGAGGGGATTTGGTGGTCTGATAAGTCTTGGAGCTTCAAGCGCGAGAAGCGAGACCCAAGCTTACGAGTGTTAGCTTGCCGCGCAGTCTCCAGATTTGGGGCTCCCAGGCCGGGAGAAGTCTTGGCTCTGGCTCCTGCCTTTGCTCTTCTGCTCGCCGTGTCCTGGGTCGGTTCAGTCCAAAGGCCGAGGCCGCGAGCGGGTTTCTTCCGCCCGGTACCGCGCCGCGGGGGTCCGCCCAGCCGGCCTCCCGCTGACCCTCCAGGCTGTGCTCGGACGGTGTTTCTTCCTAACAGCGGTTCCCTCTGGCGGATCAGACGCATTTCTAGATGAGAGGTGGTCTCGTGGTTTATTTTAGATCAGCGTCTTTCAGCCAAATACGGAATACATTGAGCGTATTTGTTAACCGACAACATTCCTTTACCTCCAGATTTCCCTCTGCTCTTAACGCTCATAAATCCCACAGAAATCTCCTGCTTGGAAGGGATAAGACGAAGTGTGTTTGTAATCAAAACCATAAACATGACTTCCGAATGCTTTCTGGCTTGTTTTCTGGGGCTCTCCTGGCTCTGCGGACTCAACCAGCCCTGCTGACTCAACCAGCCCTGCTGACTGGTTATGAGGCATTAGGCTGTATCCTCAGTTAGCAGCAAAAAGCTAGCCAGAGAGAGACTCCAAAGAAGTCACCAGGCCCCCTACTTTAACTTTTGAGTTACACTGCCCCAGAAGAAAACCTACACAGATGGCTGACTATGCCTTACTTTTTTTTTTTTTTT